GGAAGAACTAGGATTTATAGCCATTTGTTAAATCCTCAAGTTCAGTGACTTCCAATGCTTACTGAACTTCCTCAACTTTGATTATTTTGTATTGCTATTATTAGGAGAGACATTAGTGCAGTGGTAGGGTGCTGGGTACAATGCTGGTCTTTCTAGATGTATAACCTTGGACAAGTCACTTTATTTTTTTAATTTAGATTCAATTAGCCAACATAGAGTACATCATTAGTTTCAGATGTAGTGTTCAATAATTCATCAGTTGCATATAACACACCCAGGGCTCATCACATCCCGTGCCCTCCTTAAAGTCCATCACCGAGTTACCCCATCCCCCCCACCCACCTCCCCTTCAGCAACCCTCAGTGTGTTTCCTAGAATTAAGAGTCTGGACAAGTCACTTTAGCTCTGTGTCTCAACTTCCTCCTCTGTAGAATGAGGATCACAATATCTATCTTATAGGGCTCAAGGTCAAACAAAACAATGTATAGGAAGTGTTCAGCCAAAGCCTGCCCCCCAAGTAGACACTCAAATAACACAGGAACATGTCTGATTTTCCTAAACCTTGTCTTCTCACATAGTGGGTCAAGTGCAGGGAGAGTAGAATGTCCTTGGGGTTCAACGTCCAGAAATTCTAGACTCTCAGAGGAGTCATATTCACTGACCTGCTTCCATGACCTCACCCCTCTTGAAGTGCCCCCCTTCATTAGAGGGGGCACCTGTCATTGGGGTGGGTACCTAGCATCTGGGACTGGCAGAGTGGCAGGAGTGGGCACTTGACTCCTCGGGCACCCCTAAAAAATCCAGGCCCTTAGAATTAAGATGCTCTTTGTTGAGGGACACCCAGCTGGCTCACTCAGAAGAGCATGAGACTCTTGATCTCAAGTCGTGTGCTTGAGCCCCATGTTGGGCACAGAGATTACTTTAAAAATAAATAAATAAATAATTAATTTTAAAAAAAAGATGCTCTTTGTTGAACTATTCTGAAATAGCTATGTCAATTTCATGCTGGTTTCTGAGGACTGGATGATAAGGAAGCCCTGTCCTGGAGGAGCCAATTTTCACAGTGAGAGCAAATATCAGAGTGGGAAGGGGCTGAGGAATCAGGTCCTCCAACCCTGGCCTTGTACAGACGGTACAACAAGATCCAGAGAAGGAAAAGGGCCTTAAAAGGTCCCTCCCTGCACATTCGTTACAGAGCCGGGGTCAGAACCACACCCTATGACCCTCAGGCCACCATAAGACCCGAGCCATTCCTTACAGAGGGGCAGCTAAGAGCCAGCAAGGGACCCAGAGTTTGCTGGCTGGAAATGCCAGGGCCTTCCCATCCATAGCACTGACCTTCTGACTTCTGGTCCAGAGCTCTTTATGTCACCAGGGTCTCTGGCCAGGCACTTACCTCCTGGAATCACAGAAATGGTGCCTTCCTGCCAGTTTGCAGTATTTTAAATGATGACAATAATCGGGGTCTGCTCTCAGGCAGCAGTCAGGACCTCAGGAATGGCAAAATCTTCCAAATTAGGCCACATTGTTGTGAGGGAGCTAGAAACAACATCTTTCCCATTCCATCAGGCCTAAATTAGAACGGCTCTAAAGAGAGTCCTGGGAGATCAAGCCTGCTCTTGGGCCTGTGGATCTGATTTCCTTTCTCAAAGGAAATCACTTTTCTTACAATCACTGGGTGTTTGTTGGGTGTGTGCAGTGCCCCAAGTGCAGCCCAGAATTTGGAATTGGATGTAATCCTTAGCCACATACTGGCAGTGCTACTTCTTCAGAGATAGGAATCTTGGAATCTCTGCCATCTGGTCCCATGTTAGAGCATTAGTCTATGAATCAGCCCAGCTGGGTTCCCAGGGCAGAGTCTATCTCCCTTCACAGTGGAATGGCCTAGTGGGAAAAGTCCATGACCTGGGAGGCTTGGCCGCACTACTTCCAGCCTATGTTACCTAGGGCAAGAATCAACCTCTCTACGCTTTTGTCATTGCCCAGTCTACTCATCATGTTGCTAAGAGGATTCCTTCATTCATTCAGCAGAAATGCATTAAACACTGGTCTAGAGATACCCTAGTGAACAAGACACACACACACAAACAGTACCCTGCACTCGTGATGCTCACAATACAGCAAGTGAGGGGTGCCTGGGTGGCTCAGTTGGCTAAGCATCTGCCTTCCGCTCCAGTCAGGATTTCAGGGTCCTGGGATCGAGCCCCACGTCGGGCTCCCTGCTCAGCGGGGAGCCTGCTTCTCTCTCTCTCTCTCTCTCAAATAAATAAATAAAATCTTAAAAAATATATACAATATAGCAAGTGAGATAGTTAACAAATAAATGGATAAATATTTATTCACAGATAAATAATTGGCAGGATAAACGAGATTAAAAGTGTGCTGGGACACAGAATAACTGGGAGGCGTCCCCTCAGGTTGGTCAGGGAAAGCCTCTTGGAGGACGTGACCTTCAACTTGAAATCAGGAGAAGATTTCTGGCTGTGCAGAAAGCAGAAGGAGCAGCGAGTGCAGGACATGAGGCGGGGAAGGAGAGCAGGGCAGAGAAGTTTAAGGAGTGAAGGGGAAGTGGACGAGGTAGGAGCTAGCTAGGCAGAGCTCTGTGCCACGCCGCAGAGGGGATTTTCTTTGATGAACAACAGCAAGGCAACGGAGAGGGTTAAGGAGGGGCATGAAGGTGAATCTCGGGAGCAGTGAGAAGGCTGAGTTGCCCAGGGGTGAGAAGACAGACGGCGGCCCAACGGGCCTGGGACTAGCCTCGAGGAACATTCAGGATCCAGCTTAGACGCGGACTTGTCAAGACTTACTCTTGGTTTGGGTGTGGGATGAGGGAAAGAAAGACATCAAGATTGATGTCTAGATTGGGGGATCGATGGGTGACTCATACAGTCACCGAATGAACATCAAGGAAGCAGATAGATTCGCCTGCCCCCCAGGCGTGGTGTCGCAGCTAAAGATGCCCAGGGAGATCTCCTGCTCGGTCAGGGAGCCCGGCCGCAACCCAGGAAGGGTTGCGGCGAGGTAAGTCAGACCCCGGCTAACTGCGCTTCGGGGGAGGGCATCAAAGGAGTCTTCCGAAGGGAGGGCAGTGTGAGCGCGGTCTCCAAGGAGCAACAGGAACCAGGAGAAGGGCTTTGACGTCATAGATCACAGTTGTGAAATAACAAATGCGGGCCAGGCTACCAGCAGTGGTGGAACGTGCTGGTGTCTGTGAAGCCCTAACGACATGCAGGGGGCTGTCCCGAGCATGAAATTGTGCACGGAGGCCTCACCCGAGAACTCGAGGACTAGATACTCCGATGATCACCTCCGCTTGGCGGACGAGGAGACTGAGGCACAGCTAAGCCCTGCGGTGGAACTCACCGAAGGCTGCACCACCCCATGGCAGGCTTCAGTCTTACGCACTTGGGCTCCTGAGGCCTTGCCCTCAGCACCACACAAACCACCTCTCTGGGAGGCCAGCACAGAAAACAGAGGGTGGAGGAAGGTAGAAGTCGAGGGCAGGGGACATAAATGACGCAAAAGTATTCTGCAAACTAGAAAGCACTGCCCCCACGCAGAGTGCCATCACTATTATTAAAGAACTGGCCTCGCCTCCGTGGGAAGCCAAAGTTTCCGGAGTATTCGAGGACCATGGCTGCTCCAAGGTCCCACCCAAACAGAAGGAATCCGAGGGGATGGGCTGAAGTGACTCTGACCGTGAGCTGGGGAGCGGCAGGTGTGAGCTCCAGGCCTAGTCCTGCCCCTAACTTACTACACGGCTTTGGATGAGTCACCTGTCCAGCCTGGTTCCCCCATCTGGAAGATGGAAGGAGGGAGGACTGGGGATTCTAAGGGCTTTTCCAGACTTTGCATTTTGAACAATCGCTTTGCTATTTGTGCTCTGCCTCTCACTTGGATAACAAAAGGAACATCTGTGTGGGGCCCTTTACCAAAGCAGAATGCCACCTTGGATGGGAGGGGCGCCTTCCAGAAAGCCTGGCACTCATATGGCTTATGTCTCCTAGGTCCACAGATGTCCAAGTCAAACCTGCTCATTTCTCCTGCCCCTGCTAGGACACTGGTTTCCAGGGCCCCTAAATCCTGCCCATTCCTGTCCCTTTGAAACCTTCAGGGGGAGTGTGAACAGCCCAGACAGTATTCAGACCCCACTTCTGAGGATACAGCCAGAAACTGCAGGTGCGGATTACATCCTGTGGGGTCCTGTTTGGCGTTTTCTGTGAAGCACCACCCTCAAGCCTTTCTCCCGTGTGCTCCATCCTGTGCCCTCGGTTTAGGATCCACTGCCCTGGAATAAAAAGTGTTCATTTGGGACGCAGCATTGGGTCTTTCTGCTCATGCGTTGGGATCTCCACAGTGAGAAGAGACTCCTAGGCCTGCAAGAGACCCTTTCCCATCCAAGTAATGCAATCCAAACCTTCTTGCTGATGCAGAACTTTATAAACTGTTAAACACTTTCATACATTATTAATTCACATATTATTCCTTTTTTTCCCCTCAAACAATTCCTGAACTAGTGTGTGCAGGGTAGGTTGTCCAGTAAAATACGAGACGCCAGTTACATTTGAATTTCAGATAAACAGTGAATAATATTGTAGGGTAAGTATGTCCCAGATATTACACGGGACATACTTATGCTAAAATAGTATTCATTATCTGAAATTCAAATTTAACTAGGTATCCTTTCATTTACTAAATCTAGCAACCTTGGACAGGGATTGTTAGCCCCATTTTGCAGAAGCAGGCTCAGAGGGGCAAAAGGATTTATTGAAACTCCTTAGGAGCAGGGACCCTGTGTGACTCATTTTTTAAATTTTAGTATTTATTTTTTAAGCACGAAAAACACATTCCTTTAAGCCAGTGTCTCAGTCCCTTTGGTGGTGATCTGAGAGACTTATGCCTCCTGAAAAGTCTACTCCTCTGAGGATCCATGCCCTGTGTTTGTGTAGATAAGTATACTGCATAGAACATTAAAAAGTTAATGATTCATTTTTTTTTTTTGTTAGAACAACTCAGCAAAATAAAATTCCGGTTTATTGTTGGACAACATTGTTTCACACATACATCAAACAGGCCAAAAAAAATAAACAGCAACTTCATAGACAAAAAAGGAAAAAAAGAAACCTTTTATCTTTGGCCTTTTTAACCATCTCATACAAACCAACTACTTATAGTACAGCTAAGTACATACACAAAAAAAGTTACTGGAATGCTCGGAATAAGATTGTTTTTTTGTTGTTGTTTTTGTTTTTTTTTTACAAGGTTTTTTTCTCCTTTGAGATTATAATGAACATGGTCACACCACAAGTAAAGTCAGAAGTAGGACAGAGAACGCTCCAAAGGCTGGTTTGGTCATCCGAGATCATTAAAAATGGCTGACCCCTAACAATATGTACAAAAATATAAAATGTAAATAAAAAATACAAACAAATTTTCCTTTTTAAAGTACTTTTAAGAAAAAAAGCAGGGCCTTGGAAGTTTTGGTTCTTTTTTCCTCCCCTGTTGCAAATTCACGTTGTGGTTTTGGCTGGGTGGCAGAGAGCGTGTGTCATCTGCGGGTGGCGCTGCCCGCGTTGGGCAGGCGGGCGGGACTCTCTACTCGAAGGTGACCACGTTTAGATTCTGAGACGGGAAGTGGAGGGTGAATAGGTCACGGTGGCCTTTTTTTTTGTTAGGTTTAACTTTTCCTTTTTTGCTGTCTAGTCATCCTCATCGGTCTTCTGCTTCTTGGTGTCGACATCGTCATCCTCATCGTCTTCAGCTGCCCGTTTGCCCGTAGCTGCCTCGGCCTCCTCGTCTTCGTCTCCGTCCTCTTCCTCACCATCGCCTTCCTCCTCCTCCTCCTCTTCCTCCCCCCCCCTCTTCCTCTTCTTCATCTACCTCGTTGTCGGCCTCCTGCTCTCCATTTTCCTCATTCTCAGCGTTCCCATTAGCAGGCGCGTCTCTTCCATTCTCGGCCTCCTCCACAACTTCCTTCTTCTCCTTTAAATCCTTGGTGGTGATCTCGGAGCTGGTGTCCACGGCCGCGTCTGACATGATGGGGCACGCCGGTGATCCGATGCAGCGGATTAAAAAGAAAGCAAGAGTTCGAGGACTCTGGCGAGAAAGCTGCCTGAGTCCGCGGTGGCGGAGGAGGCGCGCGACGGAGGTGGTTGCGGCGAACGGGGAGCCGGACACGGGAACAATGCAAAAATGGCTTTTCAGAGCAGCCAGTGGGGCTAATGATTCATTTTTAATCCCCAGTTCCCAACCCGGAGTTAGCCCCGGGAGGATTCTAGGGAAATGCTTACTCAGATACTGGACTTTCTGAGCCTCTCATTCCTATAGGAACCCCACAGGGTAAGAGAAAGAACTGGCTCAGGACAGAGAATGGTCCCGGGACTCAGAGTCAGGCTTCCCTGTTCCTTCTAGGTGGTTGTACTTAAGGTTAATTCAGATGCGGTTCTGGAAAGCTGAGTGAAACTATAGAACATTGTGAAATTAGCAGAGGGCATCACAGAAGTGCTCCTTTTCAGGACACTCCTTTCCCGCTCCCGGTTCAGGATCCTAGGGAGGCCTGCCCAGGGCTGCCACACCCAGCGTAGTCACGGCATAAAAGCCACAAAAGACACTGCCAAAGACAGAACACGAAGTCCCCGTCCTGCCCTCTGGAGGAGCAGACCCCTTAGTGGCACTGGTGGGCCACCTCCAGGGTGACTCTGGATTAGCTTCAGCTCAGCTCTCTCCTGATGGACACCTTGGGCTCTGCCCACGGACAGATCACATACGGATGTCATCTCCCCAGCCAGAGCTGTGAATAAACACAGACACTCTGCAAAGTCTTGAGCAGCTGATGATGGTCAGGGGTCTTGGCTGCTTGCCAGGCTGTCAACTGAAAAAGGTGACTTGCTGAAGAGTTGTGAACCTGGGTGAGCCTGTTTTTCACATCTGAGGCTCAGTGGCAGAGTCTTAGAATGTTAGGGTTGGGAGAGAGAGCTTTAAAAGCGTCTAGGTCAAATCCAAACATTCTCGTTTCTTTCCAGAAAGAAACACCAATCTCAGAGAAGAAAAGGACGTAGTCGAGCTCACACCCTAACTTGACAGCAGAACCAGGCCTGGAACTCATTTTTCTTCTGGATGCTGCATTCCTGATTCAGATGATCAGCTTTGAGTGCAGAGCAAGCAGCAGGTGGGGCGGATGTGGTCACTGAGCAGGGTGCTGGTGTTGTGGGCCACTGAGCTTTAACCTCGGCACACCATTAGCATCTTCGCCCAGGCTGTCACCTTCTCCTGCCTGAAGGCCCTGCAGTCCCCAGGCCGTGGCTTAGAGATAAACAGCTCTCGACAAGCCCCTGGAATTGGAGACTAAATGGACCACAGGGAGCATCTGGTCCAGTCTCCTTAGCAAGGCAGGATGCCCAGTGCCTGTGCTGGGAAAAGTTCCAAGAGCCAGTGAGCTCCCCCAGGTTGCCGGTTGGTAGGCAGGCCCCAAGGAGGCCAAAGGTGGTGAGCGGGCCAGAAGGGGTGGAGGTAGCCCAGGTAAGCAGCGGAATGACCTTTCTGTCTCCCGTCAGCTCTGTTCCAGAGCCTTCTTCATATGGAACTAGATTCGGCCTCTGTGAGCTGCCGTCCACTGAGTCCCGTCTGCTCCTCCTGCAGACCTGGGTAGGAGGCGGCCCAGATGGCACCGAGTCAGGCAGGAGCCCCGATCTGCACACAGGCCAAGCTCTCTCCCCCGCCAGGCCCGTGCCCAGATACCGCCCAAGAGAAAAATGATAAAACCAAACGAAGGAAGAGCAAGGGCAGCTCGGCTGGGGATTCTTGGTTGGATTCCCTTACACGTACCTACATGGTTCTCTGCTCTGAGCAGAGAGCACAAGGATCTTTGAGACCACCCTCTTGGAGCTTCCTTTCCGGTTAGGGAGTCAGAGGAAATCGGATGATTTCAGGAAATGGCACTGCTAGGAAGAAAACACGCTAGAGGGCGCCTGGGTGGCTCAGTTGGTTAAGCAACTGCCTTCGGCTCAGGTCATGATCCTGGAGTCTCGGGATCGAGTCCCACATCGGGCTCCCTGCTCAGCAGGGAGTCTGCTTCTCCCTCTGACCCTCTTCCCTCTCGTGCTCTCTATCTCTCATTCTCTCTCTCTCAAATAAATAAATAAATAAAATCTTTAAAAAAAAAAAGAAAGAAAGAAAACACTAGAGACGTGATAGACTGTGACTTGGGGGCAGCATGACCTCTTGGAAAAGAGGTGAGGCCCGAAGGAGGGCAAGGAGGAAGAACAGTGTGTGCACATCCATCTCTGGGACAGAAACAAGCTGACTGTCGGAGGAAGAGAAGAGCCAGCATGGGGAGGGCATAGTGAATGAGGGGAAGAGGGAAGGAGATAAAATCTGAGAGGAGCCTGTGGTCTGCACCACAACCTACCGTGCCGTGCTTGGCCAAAGAATAAACCACGGCATGATCCCAGTCCCCGAGGAGCAGAGCCACAGCAAAGCAGAAATCATAGCAGCGCCGTGATGGTTTCTCTCAGGGTCCCCGACAAGACTCTGAAAGCCAGGGAAGGAGCCCCATGAAGGAGGGGGGCCGGGTGCTCACACACGCGTGGTTGGGCTGGGGTCACTGGGGCACCTGCCTGGCACCTGTTCCGACTGAGCTCTCCAGTTCGACGGCAGACCTCCACCCCGGGTTTCTCCCTAGGCAATGACCTCAGGAGGGCTCTCTGCTGCTCCCCCAGGGAATTCTGTGCTCCTGGAGCAGCCACAGGTCAGAGGCAACCAAAGGACCCTGTTCTAAAAGTTTCTGTGAAAGGCTAGACTCTGAGCTTCACCACCTTCACGGGGCTCCTTCCCTGGCTTTCAGAGTCTTGTAGGGGACCCTTCACCTTCTTCTCCAGTCTGACCTCTTCTCGGGGTCAGCGATGACAAAATGGTTCACCCTGGGATATAAAGGGCACTACGCCCGCCCTCTCCCGGGGAGTCTTGTATTTTAGCAAAAGTCAAAGTCCTGAGTGAAAGGAATATATCAAAGTGTGGATAATTTTGGTAATCTGTCCTCCAGGTGCGCGCGGGAGGGAGGGCCTGTGGAGTCGGCAGGTGGATGGCAGGGCCCTGCCTGCAGCCAGGTCTTCTGGCTCCACAGTCGGGCCAGCGCTCACTCCACCAGGCTATGTTGCCTTGTTCAGGTAAAACATTTATTCCACCCACCACAGGCATCTGACTCTTGGTAATTCGTAGATTTGCAAAACACCCAGCTCTGCACCAATGGCTGGTGTACGATTCTTGTGGAAGGGTGGGGTGGCCCCAAATAAGTGGACAGTCAGAGGACTGGATATCAGTCGAGGATGTTCTCATGGAAAAGTCTAGCCCCTTCCAGAAAGTTCTGTCTGGCTCAGCAAATTGTCTTGTCGTCTTGTTGGCGCTGCGGCTGTATTTCTTTCCCATTTCAGACCAGGAGAGAACACGTGGGCAATCTCTGCAATTTGGTTTTATCTTTCCTCAGGAATGATCTAACCTTAAGCAACAAGGCCAAGAAAACCTATTCCCACCCTTTGGTCCTTCAGTGTGCTTCTAGGACTGTGTCATAAGGAAATACTTCCAAAGATTGTTTTAAAAGCTTGTTTTCATAAAGGTTGATAGTATTATATATAACAGCAGAAAGCTGGAACTACCCCAGTGCCAAATGACAGGTGGAAGGACAAACTGGCCCATCCACTTGAACGGACATTATGACAAGCCTTACAAATGACAAATACAAATCTTGTCAAGACATGGAAAAACACATACGAAGGAATGTCTGGTGAAAATACGAGAAATCCAAACTGCACAGGTCTATCAGTTTCTTCCCTAGAGGCCTATACCTGAAAACTGGAAGAGCTCAAGGAAAATTTTAAATCCAATTTAAATAAAGCACATCTCTGTTTTGTGGGTATTTGGGTGCTTAGATATGTAAATAAAATAATCCGTGGGAAAATGCTTTCTAACTTTTCAATGTGGTTCACTATAAAATTATTCATTTTCTCCAAAATATAGTCCATGATTTTAATAACTGCTAATTGCTCAATGCCCCATTAGGTGGTCAGGACAGAAGAATGATTGTTTGCTGCCTGGGGTTTGGGAGAATGGGGATCTGAGTCTTGACTAGGCCACTGCCTTCTCAGGTTACTCTAGGAGCTGGGATCCAGGCAGAACCGCACATGCTCACCCTAAAAGATGGAAGATTACTGTCTCACTCAACTCTTGTCCTGGACCAGGGGAAACCACCCATCCGGCCCCACTGGCCTGTCCTTCTAGAGAACTCCTCTGCTCCCCCAAGTAATAACATTAACTATATCAGACAGGATTCTTGGCTGCAAACAACAAATATCTCATATGGGTTTTCAAAAATAACAACTATTCTTATGGTTATTATTCAATAATAACAATTATTTTCATTGTTATTACCATCATTAGCATCCCTATCATTGGACACAGGCACTGTACTGGGCTTGGTGGTAAGGGTTTGATGTGCTTTATCTCTTTTTAACCGTAACTTTTAAAAGGAGGCAATTATTCCCAGGTAAAAATGAAGAAATTGAGGTTTAGAAAGGTTGAGAAACTTGCTCCAAGGCCACAGATTTAGTAAGTAAGTGGTGGAGATGGCGTTCAAAGCCGGAGCTAACTACAAAGCTGGAGGTCCCACACACCAGGTCCTGCGGTCCCTACAGTGAAGCCTCTTGTGGGCTGTAGCAAAAATGCAGCCAGCGGGGGATGGTGCCTCGATCCTCCATGGGCCCCTACTGGCCTTAATATTTCAGTGTGATTTCCAGAGTGCTGGCTAGAGTTGGTTGTTGACGTTCACACTAGCAGAGCCATGAAGCCGGCTTTCCTAGCAGCTCACACGAACTGGCAAGAAGCAGAAAGTGCTCTCATGGCCTCAGGAAACATCTGCAAGTCCTCAAGGAGGCAAGACCTGCCCCTTTATCGCCTCTTCAGGAGAGATAGCAAGGCTGTCCCATCTGCAGGGATAGGACAAACATGCTGCGTTTACTTTCCAGGCTGGGTCCCAGCAAATGGAACAATTCACTCCCATTCGACTCTTAGGATCAGCCACTTGGGAGCAGGCCCCACACTGGGCAGTAGGGTCACAGTCCTGAAATCAGACTGACTGACTACTTGCCTTCTAGGGCTCACAGGGCAATGGTGAAAACAGTAATAAACAGCATTTGCAATTCGAGGTGACTAGTATAGGAGA